GTATAATGTCTTGTGACGTCCACGGCCTACCCCAGTTACCACTACTGTGCATGTGTGTCAAGGACAGAAAGGCAGATGTGGCAGTGGAAGGTGTCAAAGCAGTTTGGAGAGAAACAAAGTAAAAAAAAAAAGAAAAGAAAACGATTAATCAATTATTAAATTAGTCATTGATTATTTTAATAATCGATTAATCATTGCAGCCCTAGTTGTAACCGTTTTGGACAAATCTTGTGCAATGAACATCATAAAATGTCACGCTCAGAGAATCTGTTGGGTATGACTCTCACCTACTCCGACACCAGGTTTGAGCTCAGTAATCCCAGTAATTATGAAGATGTGTGTGCTTGTATTGACCTGTTCACGTGTGTGTGTGCAAGAGACCACGTCAAACAAAGTGGAACTGGAACCACTGCAGCAGGTTTTGGCTGCTACTTTAAGCTCAGCCACATCAATGAGCCCCAAACCCTGATTAAAGAGAGAATCCTGCAGGTTTCTGTGTCTGCATGCCAGCAAATGTTTATGGAAATTTAGGCTCTGCTCTGGTGGGCGAGACAAACCCCGTTGTTTTGAATAAAGTGTGTACACAACCTCTCTCTCATTCTTTCTCAGCCTTTGCTTACACGTGCACGGCAGGATTACAGGTGAGGAAACAATGTGATGATGTGGGCAAAAACATTCAGAGGGCAAAAAAAAAACAAAAAAAAAACAGACAAAACAAGAAAACTAAGATGAAAACAGCAAGGATACCAGATGATGAAGAATACCGTGTGGCTTTTCTTGTTCACTTCTGAAACATGAATGTTTAACCTAAGAATCTGTCAGGCTGAAATCACATGAAAAGAAGATCTGTTGTGTATCAAACACAGATGTTGTGTTAGATCCGTCTGATCAGAGGGGTTCTGTCTGGACAGAGATGAATCCACTTGTTTCTGAGTTTATGGTAAGATTAAAACTGAAATTGTTTGGTTAAAAAGCAGGAAATCTGATAGAATGAATGAAAATCCTAACCCATAGCTTGTTAGATGACTGTGGACCATGGCTAAAACATTAATTGTTATGGAATAAATGTTGTATGTTTTTATTTTTATTGTAATCACTTTCAGCTGTTTGAGTTGTTCTGGTGTCAAAACGTTCAGCTCACTCTGGACATCACAGTTAAGACTTTGGTTATTTGTAACTCTTATATTTTTTGAACTGATGAACTTTATTATGATTTTTTCCATATAGAAATGCATTGAAATACTTTTGAAATCATGACAAAGTTTTTTTACTCTTTGAAATACTGATCTTTTTTTTATTGATTTTTGTTTTGGCTTTAAGCTACATTTTGCTAATTTCAATTTTTAGCTCATGCTTTTCTTTTTCAGCCATTACAAACTGTTTTGCTAAATTTAGCATTTAGTTAAAATTTTGCTCATTTTAACAATGTTATGTCGGCTTTAGCTTTTAGCTACTATTTTTCTCATTGAAACTTTCAGCTACTGTTCTGTTAGTTTTAATTTTTGGTTATTATTTTTGCTTATCTTAGCTTTTAGCTTCTGCTTTTAGCTTTTAGCTACTATTCTGCTGGATTTAGCTTTAACATACTGTTTTGCTAAAATTAGCATTTACCTACTATTTTGACTATTTGAACATTTAGCTAATGTTCTGATGGTTTTGCTTTTAGATCTTGTTTCTGATAGTTTTTGCTTTTGGTTACTGTTTTGCTCATAGCTTAAATGGGCGGCTGTGGTAGAGTGGTTATGGGAGTCGTCCTGGAACCGGAAGGTCACTGGTTCGATCCCCGTCCAGTCGACTCAGTCGTTGTGTCCTTGGGCAAGACACCTTACCCACCTTGCCTACTGATGGTGGTCAGAGGGTCCGGTGGCGCCTGTGTATGGCAGCCTCRCYTCTGTCAGTGYGYCCCAGGGCAGCTGTGGCTACAATTGTAGTTTGCCATCATCAGTGTGTGAATGTGTGTGTGCATGGGTGAATGTCTGCAGTGTAAAGCGCTTTGAGTGTCCCTGATGGATAGAAAGGCGCTATATAAGTACAGTCCATTTACCTTTTACCATTTTTTAAATCTGCTGTTTTGCCAGTTTTAGCTTTTTGCTAGTTATATTTAGTCTTTACCTACTTTTATGATGGTTTTAGCTTTAAGCTTTTATTTATTTTCATCTTAGCCTTTAGCAACAGTTTTGCTCATTTCAGTTGTTAGCTTCTGTTCTATTCGTTTTAGCCTTTAGCCACTAGTTTGTTAATTTTAGCTCATAGCTACTGGTTTCATAGTTTTAAATTTTAGCTACAATTTTAAAAGAATTTTACTTTGAATGCCCTATTCTGCTAATTTGAACTTAGCTAAGTTTAGCTTTCAGCTTTTGTTGTTTTTATACAACTGTAGCTGAAAGTTGTCCTCAGTTCAGTGAGCACTAACTAATTGTGTGATCTAATTTTTGTTTAAAACTTTGACATATGAAGCAGAGGGTGATCTGAGGAATGCTAGTTTCATCAAACGTTTAGCAGGAGGTTATCTGTTTACCCTAATCACTCTGTACAACTATGAGCAAATAATATTGTGAACATTTTAAAAAAAGCATTAGCGCTCTATAATATTCAGACACACTGACTGACCTGACTAAATGATAAACAGGCTGATCTACTGAAAGACACATCCTGTCTGTGTCCTTTTGTTTCTATAAATACAAGAAATAAACAATACGTAGAAGCAGCGTGGCAAAAGAGACTGGCAGAACATCACATGCACAGTTTATTACACAAACTAGCTGTTAAAAGCAAGGGGTCGGGGGAGATTGTAGTGTTAATCTCTTTTCTAACTTTACTTATTTATTTTCAGACTCTCTCTTCAGGGGTCGTCTGAGGCTACAGAAGCTGTCAAATGTCTTAATTTACAGTCGTTCTCAGCGCCTCCATCATCTTTTTATGATACTGTGTCTACTGTCATAAGTGCACTCCTCTGCTCTATTACAGAGCCCGTTATTAGTTCACTTTTTTAAAACAATCCTGAAGTAGAAAACACTGCTCAAACTCTTTTATCGAGGAGTGAGCAGTTTCTCTATGAAAGCATGTTGCTTCCTGTTCCCCTGGAGTCAAGGACAGAAAAGCTATGAGGAGTATTTATAGTTCAGTTGAGCTGAGGCGCAGTGAGAGGTGGGGAACATGGATGAAAGGATGCTGCCCTCATGTGGTGACAGTGAGCACAGCTTGAATGAGCTGTTTTTGGTAACAAACCCCTCAAAAATATAAGTCACACGGGGGGGACGTTCGATTTTTCTATCCATCATTAGAGACAAGACGCACACGTGGGAAAGACATCAGTCCTGAGGCCAGTGATGACTGCATCAGACAGGAGGGTGATTGATGAAAAGTGGTTTCAAGTGTTTGTTATAGCAAGAGGTATTCATACCAACCTGTGGTTTGTCGATCGTAGACAGCATGTCTTGAACACGTTTCCCATCTGAATCATGATCTGAGGAGGCAGAGAGAAGAAAAACAGGGCAATTAAAAAATAATTAGAGGAGCGGGCTGCTGAAGTTTACTGAAGAAGCTAAAACTGAGTGTGTTTGGAGTTTAACATGTGGAACAAAAGCTAAAGTGGGAAGAGGACATGCTGAAATGAACACAGTAGCTAAAATCTGGGGTCCTGTAGCTAATAGAAGCCAAACAGGAACAAAGGTGTAGGTAAAAGTGGCTAAAAAGACGCTACAGCTAAAATCAGCAAAACATGAGCCAGCATTAGTAAACCATAGGCGCAAGGCAATAGACAAATAACAAGAAGCAGCAAAAGAAAACAGTAGCTGAAATTAGCAAAACGGGTCTAAAGTTATCTAAACGGATGCTAAAACTAGCAAAACCATAGCTAAAAGTAATAAAACCACGGCTAAAATGAGCAAAACAACTTCTAACACAACTGTGCTTAAAAGCAGATGCTACAGCTAAAATCAGCTGAACATGAGGTAGAATTCGCTAGGGGTGTAAGAAAAAATCGATACACTGAAATATCGCGATATTTCATTTCCCGATACTGTATCGATATTCTAAAGCCCTGTATCGATTTTTWATTAAGGTTTAAAATGTCAMCYTTCYTGCCARCYGTTCATTTTTATGTTGTAGTTCAGCCTCTGACCACTAGTTGGCAGCAGTGAGCCAGTCATTTGGCTCCTCTACCTCTTGAGCGCCAGAGAGTAAGAGTAGCATTAGCATTGTAAGTAAACATTAGCTTTTCTTTTTTTTTTTCAGTAAGAGGTTTTTATTCAATAGAATTTTTGGACAAAAAAATCACAATATATCACAATATATTGCCTTGCTTACAGTATCGCAATATATCGGGTTATATCGTATCGTGACCCCTCTGTTATGATATGTATCGTATCGCCAAATTCTTGCCAATACACAGCCCTGGAATTCACAAAACTCTATAAGCCACAAATAACAAATGGTAGTTAAATGCTAAAAGCAAAACAGTAGCTATTAGAAGAAAAGCAGTAGTTGAATGCTAAAGGTAGTAAAACAGTAGCTAAATTAAAAAAAACATGTCACTTCTAAAAAAAACTGCCTAAACATAGCGAAACAGCTACAGCTAAAATAAACAAAGCATATGCTAACTTTAGTAAAGTCATTGCTATAACTTCAAAGGAACAGACTGAAAGCAAGAAGCAGTAAAAGACTGGTTATACTGTAATCAACAAAACTAAAATTAGCAAACCATGCTTAAAATTAGCCAGATGCTAAAATTAGCAAGTCCATAGCTTAAAATAACAAAACAGTAGCTAAAACTAGCAAAAATGTTTCATCTGAAAAAAACTAAGCCTAAAAGCAGCTAGACAAATGCTACAGCTAATATGAGCAAAAAATGATTTAGCATTAGCAAATCTGTAGCTATAAAATAAAAGATATATAATGGTAGCTAAAAGCTATGAGCAAAAACAGTAGCTTAAAGAAGCAAAGAGGTAGTTAAAAGCTAAAATGAGCAAAACAGTAGCTAAACGTAACAACAGTTGCTAAAATGAGCAAAACATGTGTTACATCTAACAAAACTGTGAGGGGATTTTTATTTTAAACGAAGCTAAACGGTTTTAAAAGGATAAAGGTCACAAAAAACCAGAAATCACAGCCCACTATTCCCAGTCGAGCTGTAATTTTTGATTTATCTGAATGGTTAAAATAGCCCAAAGTATGTAGGAGTATTTTGATTGCAAAAACCATGTGGAAGAAACTACATAAAAACAGTTGACTAGACATTAACACAATGATAAATATTTAAAGAAAATTCAACAAAGAAGAAATAAAAAAATAAACTAAGTTTTAAACCAGAATTAAATCAGCACTTCTGGCAGCACATCTGAAAACCAAGTTGTCAACTTAACAAGAGGAGTGAACAGACTGCTATTAAAATCAAACGCACATTTTCCACAATTTAGCAAGAAAAACTGGAGAACTGATGAAACAAAAATATCTTAATTAGTTCTTAAAGTGTCTGAACATTTTCTACCTAACTATAAAATCCATCACTTTTGGAAAAACAGGTTCGCAAAAAAACAGGCTCAACGTCTGTAGACTAATGTATGATGCAACACTTGTTTTCTTCATCATGCACATATTTCATCGAGTTGTGACGAACACAACCCTTGCATGGAAGAAAAAAAACATTACATGGTCCAGTTTTCCACTGAAAAGTATGAGTCATCGGTTTCTCACTCAGAGGACACACAAAAGGGGATCACCGAGAAAAAAAATGTTTAAAAAGAAATTTAAAGGCTTAGCCTTACATCCATCGCAATACTCTGTTTATAGAAAGTGTGGATTGTTTTTGAAGTCGTGTTTCGCAGGTTCATAGTGCTAGGGATATCCCGATACAACTTTTTCACTTCCGATACCGATATCGATATTGACCCGTTACCAAAACAGTACAAGTCACACACTTTTACCTATTTTGTAGTGTAAAATCTTAGAAAAGTCTTGATCAAGTCAAACAGTGAAAAAGAGTAGGTATGAGAAAAACTGACCCATTTATTTTTAACCAATGGATCACAAACATTTTAAACTGAAGAACATTATACAATTTAATAAATAAAATGAATTACAATACCCTGAAAAAATAACATAATAAAAACAAAATGTACTTTTAAAGTGTAAAATAATTCAAAATCACTCCAGTTATTTATTTATTTTTTACCATCTGTCAGCCTTGTGCTGCTTTATGGTGGGAATAACTGAAGGTGGGGACAAAACAAAACCCCACATTATTGTCTGTTCAAAGAGTCCACAGGTACAATTTTACTGACTGTAACCAAAACAATGTGATCATTGATAGATAGATCGATCTTTATTTGCCATTTGTGCATATACTAGCAGTTTATACACATTGGAATTCTTGTGTGGGCATCTCTCCTCGTCACAGTACAGATGACAGAACAGTAATGATAGAAAAAACATTATAAGGTCTAAGAAAACAGTATAAGAACAATAAAAATGTAAAATTTAAAAGATAAATTTCAGCACAGTAGATGGTGTGGCACAATAGCAGCACAACAGTACAATCAGTGTGTCAAATGTAGGACCTGTATGCAACTTAGTAGCATTTCACATTTCTTAKGGATGAATGAATAAATTCATTGCACTTAATCTTCACTAAAACAAGTGTGTAAATAGATTAAACATCACTCTACAAACAAGAACAAAAATAAATAGTTAGAATCAGTCAGTTAATTATTAATAGCTTCTACAGTCTGAGCATCATGTGGAGATCAGCCTCTCTCTCCTGCAGGGAGCAGTTTTTATCACTGCTCTCGTCATGTCGCTCATATTCCAAAACAAAAAGCTGCGCTCTTCCTTTCTTCTGTCCATCAAGAGATAATCCATGGGCAACATTCTGCTGATGTCAAAACTGTAAAAAGCGTGCTGTCCTCGCTTCTGCCCGCTAGAACCACCGGAGTGAGAGGAGGTTCTGCTCGGCTGGAAACATGGAGACACTTTTGGACCGAGGCTGAAACGAGCCGAACCGCAAAGCTGCTGCCAGGGTGGAGAGTAGTTGTAGCTCCGGTTTAAAACGTTCACGGTTCTGTGTTCCTACGGAAAACTTGTGCGTGACAACTTTACTCTTAGCTTCAACTCTGTTTCTGATGAAAATAGAAAGTTCTGCTGACATTCTTGCTAACTTGTTAGCGCTGCTGTTGTTGTGATCACGTGAGCGCTGCATACTGGATCCAAGCGCTGCTGGATAGAAACACTGGAGCGGAGTCAGTGAACTGCTGGAACGGACTGCTAATATCGGAGCGCTTATATCGGACATTTTTATGCAGGCTGATAAAATCCGATACTCGATTTTTGGCTGATATCGGACCGATATCTGATATCAATATAGGATCGGGACACCCCTGCATAGTGCTGCAATATATGTGATGATTGATAATTGGCTTGATTCTAAAACAAATAATAAGTGCTGCAGATTGTTTTAAAGTGTTGTTTAAAACTTTGCCATTAAATATATAAAGTGAATTATCTCTACAGAGCCAAACCAATCCAAGATGATGACCTCACAAAACACAAACATAGCTCTAACACGGTGATTTTCAAAGATTGTGGTCATATTTGCGATGTGAGAGTAAATCACCTGCTTTATGTTAATTTATTTTACTTTAAATGTGACCTGCATTACAACACATTTTAAGATTCACTGGCTGCTCACTTAATTAGTGTTTAACTTAAGTGCAAACAATGGATATTATTTATTTTAATGGTATTTTTCTTTGTTAAAGCACAATTTTAAGAGTGTGCCTTTTTGTAAGAATCTATAGTTGGTGTTTACATATTGCTCATAATGTCTTACAATAACAACTAATTAGTCATATTTTAAAATTTCTTGTCAACTTTTAATTTTTTTTATACCAAAAACACGACCCTTCCACCAGGCTTAGCAGGTTTTCTGTGGGAAACCCTGGACTTTGACAAACAGCCTCAGAGTTTTACTGTAACACCACACACTCTCAGCAGAACCACATACATCAGCGCACGGGTCCACTAACACAAGTTCTGAGGTGATTTACTGGACGTCTGAGGTTGTTATGAGGGCCAGGACCAGCTTAGAATGCACACGCGTTTCGGTAATACAAGTCTTTCTCCCTGCCTCATCCCTGAAACTCAGGTTTTTCCAACCAGAGGTGACCTGCTTTCTCCATCCGACTGCTGGAAACCACACAGGATGGACAGAATGCATGTGTATGAAGCATGACGCTAAAGCCATTTGACACGTTTGTTGAAAGGCCAAGGAGACTATAAAACATAAAAATCTATGGCAAAAACTAAGTATGCCCTTTCTCAATTTAGGGTTTCACTTAGCAGACCATAATGAAAAATCACTTTGTTATGCAAAAGTTTCAAAACTACGTCATTTCAACCTCTCATAGATGACGCACAGTAAAACATTGTATACCATCAGATCATCTACACCACTGTTTCCCAAAGTTGGGG